TATATACTAGGGCGATCCGAAAGTAACGCTAATCTGTATTATAATTTATAATAAAGTGTAGCAAAATCAAGAATACCGAATTGACAGAAATATTTAAAAAAAATAATTATATTTTCGCTAGTTAAAGAAAATATTACGATCCAATCCTTCTGTCATCATTTCACAGGTTGTATGGGATTGGAATCATTGATTTGACCGGCGAAACAATAACAGAAAAACGAGAAAAATTATGACCATAGACCAGTGGTTCCCAAACGTGTTTTTTTTTTTTTTTTTTTTCTGGGCCGAATTTTCGGAATGAAAATTTGCTCGCGCCTCACTAAATTCTATGTAATATGCTACATAGGAATAAAATGTCGTTGCCGACCCTTGAGTTTGAACATAGATCGCCAGTGAGTAAACACAGGCGATCCCATTATTTGAATTAAGTAAACCACGTGACCATAGAGGAAACGCATATAAGTAGGAAGTCGCGTGACGTCTAAACAATCTGTATTCTATTCTACGCTCTATTACTATATGGACCGCTATTCTCTACCTTATTCCCTCTACTCTTTCTCCACACGGATTACTATTCGAGCGAGTATTATCGAGCAAGTACTATTAGTGAGAGATTATTCGAAGGCGCCTGAAGCTAGCATTGTTCAACATTGTTCAAACTGTAATCTGTGATTACAATGGATCTAGTACAACGAGCATTACAAAAGTGACAACGAGTGTTCATTGACTCACAAAATAATAAAAAGTACATTTAAAAATAAAAAAAAAAGAAATTTAAAGGGAGGTAACCGCAGATCCGAAATCGGAACATTATCATTGATAACTCTCTCCTCCAATTTGCGGAGCGTAGTCACTATATCCTTATTACTTGATATAATGTAAAAATATCACAATAATAAAATTGGTCAGTAATTATTTATAACTATTCAGACTGGGACTTATGGATGCAATTACAAGTAATCCCTAATAATATTTTAAATTTTGAAATCATATTTATTTTTGGTATATGAATTTTTTAAAAACAGCTTCTAAATCTGTCTATATTTCTGAGATGATGTATTATGTACATTATTTACATTATTCAGACTATTGTCCTTATCTTTGTCGCCATATTTATTACAACGTTTCGGCCGTTTAACAAAGTTCAGACTATTCTTATATATATATATATATATATATATATATATATATATGAAAAGTGAATATAAATAAAATAAATATATATATGTATAATTATTTATATATTATATATATACTTATTAGAAAGCGCTCAATATCAGAGATAGAGCTAACATATTTGGTTGGATAGATGTGAGTTTGTCTGACGATCGCTAAAGCGTGAAACCCAGGGTCACAAACTCACATCTATCCAACCAAATATATATATATATATATATATATATATATATATATATATATATATATATGTATATATATAAGTTCAGACTATTCTTATATATATAAGTGCAGACTATTCTTATGTATATATATATATATATATAAGTGCAGACTATTCTTATATATATATATATAAGTGCAGACTATTCTTATATATATATATATATAGTGCAGACTATTCTTATATATATATATAAGTGCAGACTATTCTTATATATATATATATATAAGTGCAGACTATTCTTATATATATATATATATAAGTGCAGACTATTCTTATATATATATATATATATAAGTTCATACTATTCTATATATATCTATTTCAGTTATAATTTATTTCATGAATTTATTTTTCTTTCTTTCACTTTCAATATTTTTTCCTTTTCTTTTTTCCTTCTCGCTTTTCCACCGCCTATGAAAAGGCAAAGCAAATTAAGGGATAATAAGTTTCAATCTGTTTTCGAAAGGAAAAAAAACTGGCGGTAAGAGTCAAATGAGGCACAGTATGAACCAAGAAAATTATATTTCAAAAAGGATACTCAAAGATTATTCATAGCAATGCAGACAAATTGGGTAAAAGTAAATATGGATAAGACCAGCACTTTAACGTTATTTAGAATTAGTGAAGAGAGAAAGACAGATGTGACTCTAAGTTATAATGTATCAGAATGTCAATGCATGGCTCAGAATGACGACGAGAAATGGAGTCATTATAAAATTGCAGCCATTATCCACAAGTACTGGTTTGCATGTAGTGACAAGTATGACGAACATGAGATCACAGAGAAGAACGTGCTGGGGAATAGGAAAGTGAAAATCCTGTTGGATATTCCGATACAGACACTGACAAATTTCGAGTACGATAAACCAGATATAGTCCTGCCGAACAAATTGGTTGACTGATATTTCATACGGCTTATCAACACTTTGTGTGTCATTTAAAACTAAAACATAATTCAGATTGTAAGAATGATTGCATTAACAATTTTATGAGAAGAACAATTTCTCCAGATACAAGTCCTACTATTTAACCTATAGCTAGGGGGGACAGAAAATGGATTTAAAACTTTCCCAAGGTTATTTGAGCGAAAGTGAATGAAACAAAACCGACGGAAACTTGGCTCCTTGATTTCTCAGTTCGGGTCGCTATCCATTACAGCACCTGGACATTCTCCCGCCGAACAATCATAAAAAGAATAATTGCTATCTGACAGAAGTCTTCTGCTCATTCGACACGTAAAATGAAAGCAAATAAAATGACAATGATTTAAAGTAAGAAATTTCGAAAGTTTGGGAAGCAATTGTAAAGGAAGTGATTATAATAATAGTGTTTATTGGAGTACAGGTGTTTACAATGATAATACAGGATGTCCATAAATTCCGCGTGCACATTAAAAACTTTATAACTTTATTTGTATTTGTGATAGAAATAATTTGTCAAAAGGATTAGAAAGAAGTTAATCTATATTTTTTTAAGGTTTTATTGAAATTTTATTTAAGTTTCCATATGTCCTCCATCATTAGCAATACAAAGGGTAATACGATTTTGCAGTTCACGGAAAACATTTGCCAACTGATTTACAGTAATGCCTGAAATCACATTAGTTATTTTAGCTATGCTTAAAATTATGTACATTAAACTTTATAATAGTTTTTACAGGTTATTTCTATCGCAAATACAAATAAAATAACTTTTTTAAAGTGCACACGAACTTTATGGACACCCTGTAGAAATCTTTGTAGATATATATATATATGTAATTTGGAAAGTGGTATCATAATTAAAAAAAATAAAATAAAAAAAAAAGCATGCTTGCTCAGAATATCAAGTTTTTTTAAAATTATTATGGATGAAATAGACAAATGACTTTCTTTCAGTCACGCGGGGTGACCTGAAAATACACATCTTAACAACAACCAACATCACATGCTGATCAGAAGAGCCACCTCGACGTGATGTAATTGTTAGCAAGCTTGTCTTACAAGAACAATTACAATTAAGTAGTGAGTTCGTTCCGCACTGGATGCCTCTTACTTTCGGTCTTGAGCCACATCCAATCTAGACTTAGAAAATCATTTAACGTATCTCGACGTGATGTAATGGTTAGCAAGCTTTTGTTGCTAGAACAATTACGACTGAGTAGTGAGTTGGGTCTTCACTAGGTGCTTCATATATTCGGCTTTGTGCCACATCTAATCTAAGCTTAAAAATCATTTACGGCACCTCGACGAGATGTAATAGTTAGCTAGCTTGTCTCGCTAGAACAAAAGTGACTAAGTAGTGGGTTCGAACCTCACTAGGTGCTGAATACATTCATCCTTGTGTCACATCTAATCTAAGCTTAAAAATCATTTAAGACACCTCGACGTGGTGTAACGATTAGCAAGTTTGTCTCACTAGAACATTTACAATTGAGTAGTGATCCTCACTAGGTATCCTATACTTTCGGCCTTTTGCCACATGTAAGCTACGCTTAGAAAATTACTATATGCTGATCAGAGGAATCGAAATAATAATAATAAAATTATTGACGAATGGTAATCTAAAATAAACTTCTTTGAAGGTCTTTTCCCTGAGTTGAACCAGTTTTTGCATGACCGACAATTCCATGAAACGGACTCCTGTGGATTTAGCCAATCGCAATTAAGTGACATGGCGACACAGGGTTTATCAGGCAACCTCCTTTACCAGAAAAAATGGACTTGAAAGGCACTTCCGCAACGCCAGCGTATCGGCCGGCTGCCAGACCCTCTCTGGCAGTTATTTAGAAAAGCGTGTCTAACTACATTCCTCTTCTCCAAGGTGTGGTCGATCATGGCTCTCCCCAGTTTCCGATCCTTTGTGGCTCTAAGGAACAGTTGCATTTTTACTATCCTTACCGGTCCCTGTTCTGCTTTTCATTTACACAAGTTCGTTTCGTAGGGTACTCGATGTTTTTTTTTCCTCTGACCCACTTGTCAAACACTCCTCGTTCTCTGCCATCCTCATGTGTCACAGAAATGTCAACCGCCTCTTTTGACTGTAAGTATGTTTCTTTGTAGTTCCTCTTTTGTCAATGTTCCGTCCATTGTGTTGTTAGTCTTCACCGAAACACATTTCTGTTGTCTCAAGTTGCCTCTTGATTCACTGATATAAAAGACTGATTGGTTGGCTGACTTGACACACCAATCACGTGTAATCTGCGTATCTTATACTGTTAAAATAATTCCCACCAATTATAAATCCTGCAAGGATCATGGCTCTTCCAAACCTTCTATCCTTTCTAGCGCTTAGTAATGTTTGCCTTTTTACTAACCCTCCTATCTCATTTGACAAGATTGTTAGATATATTACTGGCAGTCTTTTTCTATGCCTTGATTGATTTGTTTTTACGGTTTATCAACCCTTTGCAGGTTATTTAAAGACAGAAAATATTTTCAGATTGTAAGAATTTTTTGAGAGAGAATAATGGTTTAGTGATATAAGTCTTACTAGTTAACCCATAGATGGGGAGTCATACCGTTCCGTAAGTAAATATAACGAAGCCAACTGGAATTGAAACTTGATTTTCTAATTAACAATTCCGAGACATTAACTATTACACCACCCGCACATCCAAAGCACCTGGTTTCCCCCAAGCGGTCACCCATCTAGGTACCGACCAGGCACGACGTTGCTTAACTTCGGTGATCGTACGTTAAACGGTGTTTCAACGTGATATGGCAGTAAGCATAGGTAGCTTGCTAGATAGATAGGAAGGAAAGATTAGAGAGAGAGAGAGAGAGAGATAGGAAGAATTATATAGATAGTGGGAGATAGGAAGGATTATATAGAGAGAGATAGGAAGGATTATATATAGAGAGATAGGAAGGATTAGATAGATAGGAAGGAAGAATAAGCTTTGGATAGATAGATTTGATTGATTGATTCGTTTTTTTGCGGTTTATCGACACTTTAGTGTTATTTAGTCAGAAAATATTTTATTATTTGTTTAGATTGTAAGAATCTTCTTAGAGATAATAATAGTGAGTGGTACAAGTCTTACTAAAGCTATTGCTGGGGGTGGGGAAGAGTTGAATTCATACATTTGCCGAAGGTATTTGCTCGTAAGTGAATATGACGAACCCAGCGAGAATTGGAACTCGGCACGCCGACTTCCAATTCTGAGCCATTATCCATTATACCTCCCGAAACATCCAAGTATACAGCACCTGGCATTCTGAAGCGATCACCCATCTTGTTACTGACTTAGCTCGCCGTTGGTTAACTTTGGGAATCGTACGCGAACCGGTGTTTCAAAATGATGTGGCCGTAAACTTTGCCATACAAGTGGAATGTTTTCAAGTAGCAATTCACCAATAATGGTTTGTAACGAAATTTTCTTGTCTCTTGATACTTTTCTTAACTTTTGGAAGGCATCTTTCCCTACTGCAATGCTCCTTCGGATTTCATCATCACATTTTCCGTCGTTTGTTAAGACTTTTGCCAGACTGTTAAATTTCTTTTTGAATTCAAATGGCTCTCTGAATACTCAATCCGAGCGGGATATATATATATATATATATATATATATATATATATATATATATATATATATATATATATATATATATAAAGGCAGGGATATGTGTGTAATGAATACACGGCCGCAATTTTCGACGGATTTGCACCAAAATTTACATGCACATACTCCAAGTTAGTGGGAAGGTCAAGACCGACTTTGCATTTCCCAACTCCTATCGATAGTGGAAATAATCGATTTTTTCATGATTCTACTGCAGTTTTCATGTAGTTTGCGGCCATTTCGTACTGGCCAGAGTGAGAGCCAATAGCTGGCTGCCACGAATAGGCAGGAAGATTCTATTGGTCAGCGTGAGAGCAAACAGCTGACTGACATGAATGTTAACTAGCATGCTAGCATGCAAAAAAAAAAAATCGAAAGCTGCATTCGTCACAAGTGAGAAAAATTTAAATCTGCACTTTACTCCAATTGGCTCATTCGCTTGCTTAAACTCAACGTTGATTCTGATTCCGCAGAACTGGGCTGGGTGTGTAAAAGTATTTGTTGTTAACATTCTTTTTTTATTCGGTTTTTATATTTGTTGTTAACATTCTTTTTTTATTCGGTTTATATATATATAATTTACGCAAGTTAATCGATACATGGCAATATAAGGCACAAGAGTCACTCCATCTAAAGGGTTGCAAGAACATACAAGGAGGTGTAAGACGTGCATATTATGAGGATATGTAGGAGACCGTTTGACCCTAGTCTTGAAGAAGTTATAATTGTAATGATGAAGAAAACGTCATTTCGGAACTTTCTCCTTCTTCAATGGAATATGAAAGAAGTGAATCTAAATGGCATGGTGGTTTTTAGCTGTAACATTCTTCACTACTAGAATTAAGGAATAAAATGAACCTGAACATCTGCCATGGAAATAGCGATAGAGTTGCGTGGGGCTAGGATTGTTTTGTCTGTGTGGAAAATGGCTGTACATTGCCGCGTAAAGTCTTTTCATCTATATTATTATATTATCATTATTATTCGATTACATTATTATTATTATTATTATTATTATTATTATTATTATTTCCTTTGATTTCTGATGTGTACTCATTTCTTTCCTGCCGCCCAGGAACCTAAATTTAGAAATGGCATCATGACGTTTTCTACTGGAAAAACATATATTTTACATAGACAAAGCCCTTCGTACGGTGTGGGCTGCACTCATGAGAAAATTTTTTTGTATTTCTTTAAGGCATGGGCTTCCAGGAATCCCTTCAATTATTCTACTGGAATCTTTTCCAACCAATCCCAGGGCTCCAACTACAACGGGGATTGTTGATGTTTCCATGTGCCACATTTTTGAGATTTCGATTTCAAGGTCCTTGTATTTTGATAGCTTTTTGAAGATCTTGAAATTATTATTATTATTATTATTATAAAAAAATGGTCTGAACTGGTGGACCTACGGGTTGTAGTCCATCAGAAACATTTTCCATGGAAATAGCGATAGTCGCGAGAGGCTAGCAACGTTTCACCTGTGCGAAAAGTGGTTGTAGGGTGGGAAATAATCACTATAACATACACAGTAAATTTGCATCAATTTGCTTATTACAATGTGTGATATTTAATAATGAAAGTGATGGAAATAAAAATAATCTAAATGAAATCGGCTAGATTATAGCCCCAACATACATATTTAAAAAAGACCTAAATTCAAAATTCCCAGCGTCTCTTGCTCGTAGTAGCGTCAATGTAAATATAAACTTGTCCGATGACGTACGAAAGTATAAAACGCGTCACACGTATTTTTTCCCGCTTTTCCTTTCTACTTTTCCTGATATATATATATATATATATATATATATAATATATATATATTTATAATCACCTCCTCAGTGTGGCTAGAAATCCTATATATAATCCTTATATACGTGATGTATACAACGCCATTAGTCAATAGTGCTCAATTTATAAATGAAAAGCGAGGTATTAATAGCAGCAGCATATCGTCATCCACAGTGTCGATATATCCGGTTGCTTCAAGCCGGGATTGAAACCGGACAAATTTGGCATCAGTCGGAGATTTTACCCTCTGAACTATCAGAGAGTAAAGAGGAAGCCGAATTTTTACGTACCTATTCTTCGATGAAACACGCCAATGACAGAGAGGTTTTCAATTCATGGAAGCGCTTTGCAGTATTAGCAGGAGTAGTCATTGTTTACAAATTCGCGCTTTCTTCCTAGAGTGCTCGACCGGAATTAAACTTTCCGGGAGCGTATATATATATATATGTGTGTGTGTGTGTGTTTAATTTGTGACATGGTCAAAATATTTAGAACGTTGGCGTATAAAAGAAAAAGAAGCGAACGACAAATACTTACACTACCATCTCCGGATTACTTTTTAACTGAATGTAGAACCCAGAAAAATGTCTGAAAACCATGTTTATTGTATGTGAAGCTCAGACAGCTTTTTGTTTTCCCTTTTCTTTTCTTTCTCAATATATATTCTTTAAAAACATCGACCACAGCAAGCACCTGGATTTTTCTTTCTAAACTAAACGAGTATCATTTCCTGTTCACGCGACCTCCGAGTTATCAAATACAATAATTTTTAGCATGTTTTTTTTTTTTTTTTTTTTTAATAATAATAATAATCTATGTGAAGTGAATGACTTCGAACCTCGAGGATTCGATCGGCATTTGAGGGTCAATAGATGTAACAAGGGAATTGGCCCCGGTGGCGACAGTCTATGACCAAAAACAGGGACGGAAAAAAAATGAAGATATGAAAGAAAAGCGAGGAGGACGAACGGATATAGAAATTGCCGGATAGATGAATGTCTTGGTCTGGTTTTCATGAGCCGGGGAAGAAGATTGGTGACATAAGCAGGTCTTTTCGCTGGAACTAGTTAACATATCTGGACATAAATGAACGAGGAATATATCAAGAGACGAATATTAAGTGAGAGTCGTAGACAAACATGGCCGGAATCTCGTGGCAGTGCGAGATTAATGACACATAGGACGTGACTTGAATTTTCTGTGGGTCTTGACTGACGTTCTCTTCCGCGCGCATGCCGTTAATTGAGTGCCTTTTAGTGTGGGTGTGCATGTCAGTGTGTGCTCGCACGCGTGCGTTCTTGCTTATGTGTGTCTTTCGGGCTGATGCATATGATTGAGCATATAAATATAAAAATACACACACACACACACACACACATATATATGTCGTGAGAGGTGGGGCATATATATCTATTTGCATGGATGAATATAGGCATGCATATAGTAAGATGTATACGTATATAGAAAATCATGAAGTTTATAAATACGTACACACACACACGCACACACACACATGTAAAATGTCTGTCTGTATGCATTTTTTAATTAAATATTTTTTTCAAATGATTGTGAATAATATCTTAGTGTGTGAAGGTATATTTTTATTCAATATTTTGCCAAATGTTGTCAATAAATTTATATATATAATGTGTGTGTGTAGGCATATTTTTATTCAAGATTTTTTCAGATGTCTGACTAAAATATATGTATGCAGGCATATTTTTATCAATATTTTGTTAGGTTTGTGACACACATGATGGTCCTTGAATGAACTTTGAAGACGGAAGCCAAAGTATGAATGTTGCTACCATTACTGAAGGCCTGGATGATTTTTTTTCCTTTCACCATTGCTCAGATTGGAAGACATAGTGGGCCTGACGCAAAACGATTTTAACCTGTTCTCTTTCTAGTTTTTCAGTGATTCTTATGACAAATGGTGTCAAGATGGCTAAACGTCTTTTCTGAAAACCTAAAAAAAAGAAATTCAATTAGTCTAGTAATTCTTTTAGATATTAAACATTTTGTGGGGGCGGACAATTATCCTATGCTGTAATAGGATTTGGAAAATTTTGCTATTATACACTATATATATATATATATATATATATATATATATATATATATTTATATTTCATTGAATACGACAGACAAGGCGCTTTGATTTAGTTTTCTATACAATTTCTCATGCGATCTAATAATTTTCTTTTCTTTTCTGATAATACAATATGTAAAAACTGTCCGAATATTCTTTTAATCAGAGCACTTTATACATGCAAAAAAAGGCTAAAAATAATGGAAGCTATATTAATAAAAGCAAAAAAAAATACTCAATAATATCAAGTATGAACATGGACACACTATACTGACCGTGTTTTGAAAAATGACAACTTTATATAAATACATACATGCAACAAACTATTTCTTATTTAACAGTTGAAATAATTCATCCTTGAAAATGACTAAACGGAATAGCCGAAAGTGCTAGGAAAAAGGACGTTGGGACAGTTTTTATATAATTTATCATCTGAAAAGGAACAAATTATTAGATCACATGAGAAATTGCATAAAAAAAACTAAATAAAATATAGCACACCTAAAACTACATTTCTTTATATATATATATATATATATATATATATATATATATATATATATATATATATATATATATATAGTGAGAGTGATTAACTGGTCACATTGTGGGATAAATTGAAGATTAAGTGAAAGAAAGGGTCCAGAATACGTCAAATCTTTCCTCATTTTAATTGTGCTGGGGGAGAGTTGGAAAATTCGGGGGCTTCGTCAGATTTTACGGAAATTTCAAGAAATGATCGTGTAAACATCTATTTCAATATTATGCTTAAACAAGGTTTTCACTCAGCTTTAGGTATAATGTTGTTTTATTGTGTTTTGTGTTGACGAAATCAAATTTTGAAGTAGTTTCTAATGAGTCTTTACAC